ATAGGCAATATTTGAAAAGTTTTAAGCAAAGGGATGGGGCAATGGCGTTTGTATTTTAGAAAGGTTACTCTGGCTTCCCTCCATAGAGGCAGAGGTGCCAGAGCACATGTGGGCAAAGTAGTTAGAAGCCACTTTATTATTTTATTTTTTTTGAGACAGAGTCTCACTCTGTTGCCCAGGCTGGAGTGCAGTGGCGCGATCTCAGCTTACTGAAACCTCCATCTCCTGGGTTCAAGCAGTTCTTCCTGCCTCAGCCTCCTGAGTAACTGGGATTACAGGTGCCTGCCACCATGCCCAGCTAATTTCTGTCATTGTTGGGTTTTTGTATTTTGGTTTTTGTTTTTTGTTTTTGAGATGGAGTTTTTGCTCTTGTCACCTGGGCTGGAGTGCAATGGTGCAAGCTCGGCTCACTACAACCTCTGCCTCCTGGGTTCAAGCGATTCTCCTGCTTCAGCCTCCCTAGTAGCTGGGATTATAGGTGCCCATCACCAGGCCCAGATAATTTTTTTTTTTTTTTGGTATTTTTAGTAGAGATTGGTTTTCACCATGTTGGCCAGGCTGGTCTCAAACTCCTGACCTTAGGTGATCCACCCACCTCGGCCTCCCAAAGTGCTGGGATGACAGGTGTGAGCCACCACACCTGGCCTGATTTTGCATTTTTAATAGAGATGGGGTTTTGCCATGTTGGCCAGGCTGGTCTCAAACTCCTGACCTCAGGCAATCCACCCACCTCAGCCTCCCAAAGTGCTGGGATTACAGGCGTGAGCCACCGTGCCCAGCCAGAAGCCACTTCAATCATGTAAGCAATGATGTGGATTAAGAAGCTGGCACTGGTGTTGGTGGTGATGGCAGCTGCTCTAGGAAAGTCGATGGAAAAACCAGTGTAAAGTGGTCACATCAACTATCACAGGGGCAGACTAGATTTGGGGGCGAGGGTTGAGGAACATTAGATTTCTGGTTTGTGTAATCAAGTAGGTGATGAGATAAGAACACTGCAAGGGGACTTCCTTTCTCCTGTGGTTATGTATGTGCAAATTTTTTCGGCTGTTGTTAAGGCAGTGAAGATGTGCAAACAGGAAGAATCTCATTTTTTTTACCTAATGCCTTCATTCGAGTTATTTATATGTGTATTTCCTCAATTAGCTTATGAGCTCTTTCAGTCCAGGAAACACTTTTTATTTTCAAATATAACCCCAGAGCTTAGCTCATAGGTTTGTCTGTTTAATAGCATGACTTTCCTTAAATCAAAAAACAGAGGAAAAAATGTTTTAAATAAAATTAGGCACAGCAACATAAAAAACACTTTTGATATCAATAAAACACACGACAAGATTCAAGGAAATCCATGTAGAGGCACTATTAGTATTTTTGCTAACTTGGACAAAGCTTAATCTGACCTTGATCTTATTTTTCAACTATATAATAAAGCCTTAAAAATATTCAGAATCTCCATTCTAAAGTCAGAACTAATTTTTAGGATTTGAAAAAAAAAAAAGAAAGAAAGAAAATTGGGGCCGGGCACAGTGGTTCATGCCTGTAATCCCAACACTTTGGAAGGCCGAAGTGGGATCACGAGGTCAGGAGTTCGAGACCAGCCTGGCCAACGTAGTGAAACCTCGTCTCTACTAAAAATACAAAAAATTAGCTGGGTGTGGTGGCGGGCACCTGTAATCCCAGCTACTCAGGAGGCTGAGGCAGGAGAATTGCTTGAACCTGGGAGGCAGAGATTGCAGTGAGCAGAGATGGTGCCACTGAACTCCAGCCCAGGCGACAGTGTGAGACTCTGTCTCAAAACAAAAAAAAAAAAAAAAAAGAAAGAAAAAGAAAAAGAAAAGAAAAAAAAGTTTATATGTTGTGGCTTTTGTTTGTTTTATTATTATTGTTATTGTTATTATTATTATTATTATTAGACAGAGCTTTTCTCTTGCTGCCCAGGCTGGAGAGCAATGGTGCAATCTCAGTTCACTGCAACCTCCACCGCCTGGGTTCAAGCAATTCTCCAGGCTCAGCCTCCCAAGTAGCTGGGATTACAGGAATGCGCCACCATGTCCAGCTATTTTTCTACTTTTAGTAGAGACAGGGTTTCACCATGTTGGTCAGGCTGGTCTCAAACTCCTGACCTCAAGGGCTCCACCCAACTCGGCCTCCCAAAGTGCTGGGATTACAGGTGTGAGCCACTGCACCCACTGTTTTTTCAAGAGACAGGGTCTCACTATGTTGCCCAGGCTGGTCCCAAACTCCTGGCCTCAACTCATCCTCCTGCCTTGGCCTCTCAAAGTGCTGGGACGGGATGACAGGCATGAGCCATTGTGCCCGGCCAATATGTTGTGTTTCAATTTTCATTCAGTTCTAATATGTTGTAATTTCCGTTGCCCTTAACCATTCCCCTGTGGCCCTGGGCAGACAAGATAAGCAGGGGCTGGGGGACACACAGGCAGGGACTCTGGGATTCTGCACTGCCCCAGGCCAATCCCCAGAGAGCACCACAAAGGAGAGAGGCTACATCAGAGCTCTCAGGCCCTCCTGAATGCCTTGGCAGAACAGACTCTCTCAGGCCACCCTGCCTGGGGTGGCATTAGGGCTGCACCCTTCCTGATGCTGGGCCCCTCGTAGCACCCAGGGCCCACTTCACCCATGTTCCAAGGGGGACGGGTCCTTCCCTGGGTAGCTGTGTGTCCACTGGCCTCACTGCTGGCCAGGGACCGTGGGTTAGCACCTCCTAGTCATGATGTCCCTGAGCCCACAGCGTTCATTTTGGAGTAAGGAGGATTAGGATTCCTCATCCAAGGTCACCCAGCCCGGAGGGTCTGGTGTCAGAGCAGAAGTGGGATAGGCGTCTTCCGGAGGTGTCCCCGGGACTCAGGGAAGGCTTGCTGCAGGAAGCAGTGGTGTAGGCAGCCAGGGTCGGGTGTGTGGCGCCAGCATCACCCCGCTGCTCTCACTCTTGCTTTCCTTATGGAACCTGAGTGGGCATCTGTGTTTCTGAACCCAGAGGCAAGGACACGTTTGAGAAGAAATGCCAAGTCCTGAACCACAGCTTCACCCCACAGCCAGCTTTACCCTGGCATGGCAGCTGGCTCTGCTCATGGGACAAGGCGGGCAGGGGGATGACCCAGAGCCTCCGCCTCACCATGCTCACCTCGGACCCCTCTTGTTACTCATGGGACGAAAAAGGGAAGCGAGGGAGAGAGTGCGGGCAGTGGGCAGGTGTGTGGGACCTGCCTCGGGCACTGAGATCTCCCAGGTTGCAGCTCCCAGGAGGCTCTGCCCTGCCCTGCAGGAGGGTGCCTTTTCCATGAGTCCCCACCATCCACAGGTGCCCAGCCCGGGCCCTGGCTGGGGGCAGTGGCTGGCAGGGCCCCAGCCTGAGTGCCTTTGCCGCACCCACCACCCCCACACACTAGGCCCCTGATGCAGCGTCCTCTCCCAGCCCCTTTGTGCTGGTGGCCCCCAAGCTTCTCCAAGATGCAGAACCTGCCGATGGCGTTGTGTTCTTGTACCAAATTAGCCACACTTTACTCAAGTGCCCGCCGCCTGAGCCCGCTGCAGGAGCTGACTCACTCACTTGAGGCCACTCGAAACGCACAAGCCCCCGGAAGCCCTCGCCTTCCACCCAAGGCTCTGCCAAGGGCCTGGCTTCAGCAGAAGCTCATTTTAAGGGGCTAGGGGCAGAGAGTCGGGGCTCCAGCCACTTAAGGAGGCAGCTGTGCTCGCAGCTTTGCTGCAGCTCTGCAGAGGCAGCCCGGTCCTTCTGCCATAAGAGCCGCCCCGTGCAAGAGGAGACGGCGACAGGTCTAATAATCATCCCTGCATCACTGCATCTGAAGGACCCGCCCAGTGTTTGGTACGCAGCAAAGTCTGTGGACATCTGTTGAACAACTGAACAAAAGAATGAATGAGTGAGCCGGGAGCAGTGGCTCAAGCCTGTAATCCTGAAAATGAGTCAAAAAGGAGTGAGTGAATGACTGAAAGAATGAATGAGTGAATGAATGACTGAAAGGATGAATGAGTGAATGAATGACTGAAAGGATGAATGAGTGACTGAATGAACAAGTGATTGAATGAATGAACGAGTGAGTGAATGAACGAGTGAATGGAGGAATGAAAGGATGAATGAGTGAATGAATGACTGAAAGGATGAATGAGTGACTGAATGAACGAGTGATTGAATGAACGAACGAGTGAGTGAATGAACGAGTGAATGGAGGAATGAAAGGATGAATGGGTGAATGAATGAGTGACTGCAAGAAGGAATGAGTGAATGAATGAATGAGTGAGTGACTAAATGAGTGAGGGAATGAGTGCCTGCTGATAGCACTCTCAAAGCTCCATGCCGTGGGGTTGGTGGTTTCAGTTTCTTGGGAAGCTCCTTGGGGAAGGGACCCCAGATAGGGTGGGCTGCTGTGCAAAGAGCACTGGAATGAGAGTCCAGAGACACTGGCATCAGCCCAGCATGGTCTGTTCGCACCCGCGACTGCCGCCCTCTCTCAGCCACAGTAGACTCACCTGTTGGCCCCAAACAGTAACTCCTGGCTCACTGGACAGCAGGGAGGTGGTAAAAGTCACGTTCTCTGCCAAGGGAGCCTGGTCTGCGGTGTTATCACCTCTCTAACCACCACAATGGCGCTGATTCCTACAAACTCTGCTAACGTCTGTGTTTTGGCCTGGTCACAGTGGCTCATGCCTACAATCCCAGTGCTTTGAGAGACTGAGGCAGGAGGATAACTTGAATCCAGGAGTTCGAGACCAGCTTGGGCAACATGGTAGGAATCCTGTCTCTACCCAAAAAAATTAATTAATTAATTAATTAATTAGCTGAGCATGGTGGCTCACACCTGTGGTCCCAGCTACTTGGGAGGCTGAGGCAGGAGGGTCTCTTGAACCTGGGAAGTTGAGGCAGCAGTGAGCTGTGATTGTGGCACTGCACTCCAGCCTGGCTGACAGAGTGAGACCCTCTCAAAAATACAACAACAACATCTGTGTTTTGTTATATTAAACAGTTATACATAAAGGGAAGACCACACCACCCCCTGTGGGGGACACCTCCAGAGGGAAGGCAAGACACTCAGACTTCAAGCTCCGGGGTCAGGACCCCACCTGTTGAGTCCTTGGTGAACGCCTGCCCGAAACTGCAAACCCCATTCTGAGGGAACTGAGGGACAGGAGTCAGCCTTGGGAAGAGGCGGGAGAAGCACCGCGAGCAGTGGTCCTGCTTCCAGCCACTCCGACAACTGGGAAGTCCAGGCCACACTCCACACCCAGAACCCGGCCCCACAGAGCCACCCAACAGGTGCCAGCCCAGGGACCGAAGGTTGAGAGCGGATGGCAGCAAGGATGGAAGTAATCCCAAGGCCTAGGGCCTGCCGGAGCCCGTGCTCAGCCCCCTGCAGGCTCCCGGGGCCCCCACAGTTGGGAAGAGGGGCGAGAGTGGGTGGCTCTGAGCTGAACTGGCTGAAATTCTGCCCTGAAACATGCAGTTCTTTCTCTGCCGCGAGCTTCTCCGTGCTGGGCACTGCGCAGCCCCTTCACGGGTAAAGGGGAGACCTGCGAACCGCTGGCAGCTTTGTCGCCAGGACCCAGTATTCGCACTCAGAGATGCCTCAGCATTTACCGTCAAGACACAGGGGCTGGAACCAGGGCCCAGAGGGGCACCATTCACCACAGGGTTGCCGGCCTCGCTGGCCCCAGAGTGCTCACAGGTGGCCGGCCCTTAAGCGGACCCTGTGCGTATGAAATACAGCCCTGTCCCAAAGACTCGACATGAGAAATGATTGCAGGAGGCATTGTTGTATGTTGATTACCTGTTGAGATGACCACATTTGGAGTATGTTGAGTTCAAAGCTCATTATTGAAACGAATGGCACCTGTCCCGTTTTCCTTTTGTACATGGCTATCACAAAATGGAAACTTTGCTGTGTGGCTCACACACATTCTGGTTCCTGTACAGTGCTGGTCTGGAACTCGGCTGCAGGGAGGGGGAGGGTGGGACGGAGAGGCGCATGGTGGGACAGAGAGGCGCATGGTGGATGGAGAGGCACAGGGCCTTGGGGACACACTTGGGAGGGCACTAGCCCACAGGGAGCCCAGCGGGGTGAGGGGGGGCATGTGGCTGTGAGGAGGAGCCCCTACCTCACTCTGCTCAGTGCCTGGGCCTCACCCGGGGCTTCCGGTCTCCCTGATCAGGGCTTGGCCTTCCTGGCCTCTGAGCAACGCCTTCGGGTCCTACTCCCACTACGTGCCTGGGTTGGGTCCTCTGCATCAGGCCCTGCTTTGCACCGGACGGAAGGAGGGAGGGAGCAGGGGAGCCCGTCCTCCCATGTCAGGGTCACCTCAGTCACCCCACCAGCTGCTGCTTCGAGACCAGCAGCGCCACCCCCCTCTCAGCTGCCACCCCCTTCAGACCGCCAGGGAAAATGAATAAGCAATTAGCTATCCCTCCCAGCCACCCTGCGCCTGAGGCCCACTCCCTCGCCTGCCTTTCCGCACCTCCTTTCTCTCCTTTCACCTCCCTCTCTCTTCCTCTTCCTCTCTCTCTCCCTCTCTGCCTCTCCCTCTCTCTCTCTTTCTCCCAATCTCCCTCCACCACTCTCAATTTCTGCCTCTTTCTCTCTCTGTTGCTTTCTCTCTGTCCTCTCTCATCCCGCAATGGTCTCTCGCCCTCTCTGCCTCTCCACTCTCCCTCTGTCTCTCTGTCTCTCCCTCTGTGTCTGTCTCTGTCTGTGTGTATGTGTCTCCTTCCCTGTCATCTCTCTCTCTGTCCTCTCTCGCCCTGCCCAGTGGTCTGCCCCCTCTCTGTCCCTCCACTCTCCTTCTGTCTCTCCCTCCCTCCACCCCGCACCACAGCCCCTAATAGCACCAGCCGAGCGGGAAGCGGAGCCTCGCCGCCGCACACAGTAACAAATCTTCCATATTACTCCCTCTCCTTTATTTACACCGGGCACACAGTAGCAATTCAATCTGAAAAAGTGCCGTGTTTTCGGAGGCGCACAGCCCAAGAAATTGATGTTTGTGTTAATCAATCTTGTAGGAGCCCGCGGGGCTCAGAGAGGTGTGACGAAGAGATTTCTTCTATTGATTAATTGAATTTTGGGCAGGGGGGATGGGGAGAAAAATCAAACCCTCTGAGTACCTGGAAGCTTTCGAGCTAGTTCAGGCGCCCCGCCAACCCCTGCCCGGCCTGAGGTGTGGGGGGTCCTCTGGGCTCTGAGCCCCCACCCATAATATCCTCTTAGCTCAGCCTCAAGCCCGGCTGGGGATCAGGACTCCAGTTAGCTCAGCCTCAAGCCCGGCTGGGGGTCAGGACTCCAGCTCCAAAGCTGGCTCTGGCTGGCTCCAGGGGGATTTTGGGGTCACCCCTCTCCTGTCTGGAAAGGCTGGAGACAATCCTGCCTCTAGCCCCCTCCCACTGCCCACCTAGCAGGTCAGAAGCTTCGGGCCTCCGTCCTGAGGACGCCGTGTCCCCCACAGCCAGCGTGTCTTGAGGCTAGGCTCTGGACGTGAGCAGCGGTGTGTGGGCTCAGAGCCCCTTGCGGGCTTCCCTGAGCCTCCGCCCTGCCCCCACCATGGAAAGTATTTGGGCGCTGGCCCGGAGCCGCCTGTCTGCTGGCTCAGCCGGTGGAAATGAGGCAGCCACGTGGGTATGGGAGCCAACGTGTCCTCCCAAACGGCCACCCCAAGCTTCCATAATCCAAGACCCAGACTCTGCAGACAGCGGGAGGAGCGTCTGTGACCTCCCTGGGGACCTGGGAGGACCAGGAGGCAGCAGGCAAGAAGGAGCTGTGGACCCACAGGAGGGACAGGGCAAACACTTGGTGTCAGAAGGCTCTGCATTTGGATGGTGCCTAAAAGGTGACCTCAGCAACTGACACTGCCATTCACGGGTCTCATTAAGGTGGTGGGACAAGCAGACAGTGTTCATTAGGCCCATTTTATGGATGGGAACACTGAGGCTCTGACAAGGGATCGTCCAGCTGGAGAAAGACGGAGCCAGGACTTGCTACCAGGCCTTAGGACCCCAGAGCGGGTCCTCTGTTCCAAGTTTCCTGGTCCTCAGGAGTCCGAGGACCTGGGCCTGGCCACGATCCTTGTCACCCAGGGAGGTGGTTGGAGGTGCAAGGTGGACTGGCTCCAGCGCATCCTGGGGGCTGGCCAACTGACCACTTTCCAGATGGCTGAAGCTCTGCACATCTGGGAAGGAGAGCACTTACCCGATAGGTGCATCAGGAGAACCACCAAATCACTCCTCCCTCTCCAGGCAGAGAGCCCCGGCGCCATCTTCCAGGAGGCATGCATGTTAGAACAATCAACATGTACAAATGCATCCCTCGCCTGTCCTACAGCATCATCACCACCCATCACGCACCTACTGGGTGCCAGCGACTTTGTTCTCAGTATCTGCGACCCTGTCCCAGAAGCTCTGTCCCATTCCACAGAGGTGATTTTCCTGCTCAGCCTCCCGAGTGGCTGGGATTACAGGCGCCTGCCACCACGCCCAGTTGATTTTGTATTTGTAGAAGAGACGAGGTCTCACCATGTTGGACAGACTGGTCTTGAACTCCTGACCTCATGATCCACCCACCTCGGTCTCCCAAAGTGCCGGGATTACAGGCGTGAGCCACTGTGCCCGGGCAAACCGACCTCATCTCAGTAGCGAGAAGTCGGGGTTCCTCCAAAGGCAGAGATAGGCTCCCCGGCCTTTTCTTAGGATGTGATAGATGGCAGGACTGGCATCTCGCTGTTTTCCCCGCAGTCCGGTGACAGTGGGGCAGAAAACACTGGGGCAGAAGCAGAAGGGATTCCTGCCCTGCCTGGGCCTCTTGCTCCTGGGCCTGCTCTGGGTGTCAGGCACGTTGGTCCCGTTACCTGACCTCAGCATCCCCATCTGCAAAATGGGTCTGAAGAGAAGCCTCAGCAGTGCCCCCCACCCAGAACACTGTGCTAGGAAGCAGGTTTCTGACATCATTCAGGTGTGAGCTTGTCCAGAGCAAAAGTGACCTCCGTGCCCCTTGATGGAGTGCACGGGACAAGGCTCAGGGAGCCCCTGGCTTGCCTGCTTTTGGGGGTGTAGGGGGGCTTGGTCAGGGGGAACAGAGGCATGGGGATCCAGGGTCCTGTCTGCCTTGGACACTCGTGGGCTGCTGCCCTGGGCTAGCTCCCCTCGTGCTCACTGTGACCCCCTCAGAAGGATTTCCCGAGACACCAGAGAGCTGAGCCCTCGGCGAGGCGCCCAGCCCCTCGGACTTGAAAGGAAGTGGATTTTTAAGGATGAGCTTTTGAAACGGCTAATTGGGTGACTCTTGCCCCATTTCCTTGCACAAGCTCACACACGCACTTGCATATCTCGCCGATTTTCCAACAAACAAAGCATAATTTGTGTTACTGCAACAGAATGTTCTGTTTAGGCTGACATGAGCCAACAGGGGTGACCCTGAACCGTCCTACCACGAAATGCCCTTCCGGGAAGAGCTTGTCAGGCCAACACGTAACCCTCAGCCGAAAGCGACCCAGAGGGCACAGCAGAGCCTCAAAGGGCAGCCACCCCCAGCCCCAGCCATGCCACGACCACGCCTGGCCTGGGGCCACTGTCCCAGCGCCCCCCTCCCAGGCCTCGCCCTTCAAACCAGCCAGCACACACACCCTCAAGACCACCACCAATGAAAGAGTGGAAGTTCAACTGCAAATGAAAATTAGATAGACCAAGACAAAGGACAAAGATGATCTTGGGAAAACATTTGGAACCTACACAGTTGGAAAAGATTTTATATTATTAATATAAGGAGCTCCTGCAAATGCATTTAAAAAAGAGGGCTATCCCATTAGGGAAAAAAACAGGCAACGGCCAGGAACACCAATTCACACAATGCAGCCAGCAAGCACGTCAAATGTGTAACTGCACAAAGCTCCAAATGTAACAATTTAAAGGACAAAGGCATCTCTTTACTTCTACTAAATTGGCAATGATTTCTTTTTTTTTTTTTTTTTTTTTTTTTCAGAGACGGAGTCTTGCTCTGTCGCCCAGGCTGGAGTGCAGTGACCGGATCTCAGCTCACTGCAAGCTCCGCCTCCCAGGTTCACGCCATTCTCCTGCCTCAGCCTCCCGAGTAGCTGGGACTACAGGCGTCTGCCACCTCGCCCGGCTAGTTTTTTGTATTTTTTTTTAGTAGAGACGGGGTTTCACTGTGTTAGCCAGGATGGTCTTGATCTCCTGACCTCGTGATCTGCCCGTCTCGGCCTCCCAAAGTGCTGGGATTACAGGCTTGAGCCACCGCGCCCGGCCGGGCAATGATTTCTATGCTAAAGACATGGAGGGAAAAGGCCCTCAGTTTCCCCACTACCATTCTGGAAGGAGATACAGTAGCAATTTTTACCTACACACAAAATATCTGACACGTGGGCAGCCCCTTGGCCCAGGAATTTTACTTTGTGCCTTCCTGATCAGAGGAATGGGGGAGGGCATTGGTCTAATATGGCTGTTTCCAAACCAGAGCCCTTCAGACAGCTCCTCAGTGGGAGGGGCACAGCCAGGTGCAGTTTCGCACATGTTCTCTTGTTTTATAAAATGTAACACTTTGTGGTTACTGCTTGTTTTCTCTTTTTTTAGAGATGGGAGGTCTAGCTCTATTGCTCAGGCTCCCATCCCAACCTTGGGAGTAGCTGGGACTACAGGCACAAGCAACTATGCCCAGCTATTTTTTTTTTTTTTTAATGTTTTGTAGAGATAGGGGTCTCACCATGTGGCCCAGGCTGTACTCAAACTCCTGGGCTGAGGGATCCTCCTACCTCGGCCTCCCAAATTGCTGGGATCACAGGCTAAGACACACTACACACACCACAAACCACACACCACTAAGCCACATGGCAGAAGATCTCACAAAAGGGTGTGACAGAGAAAACAGTGAGGTGTGGCCCCAGTGACAGAAACAGCCACACCCCCTCGAACACATGTGCACACGCCACACACACACCACACACACCACACCATACACACACCTCACCACACATACCACACACACCACCCACATCACACCTCACCACACACACCACACACACCACACCATACACACACCTCACCACACACACCACACACACCACACACACCTCACCACACACACCACACACACCACACCATACACACACCTCACCACACACACCACACCTCACCACACACACCACACCATACACACACCTCACCACACACACCTCACTACACACACCACACACACCACACCTCACCACACACATCACACCTCACCACACATACCACATACACCACACACACCACACACACCACACCATACACACACCTCACCACACACACCACACACACCACACCATACACACACCTCACCACACACACCACAC